TTGTGGCGACCCAGTTGGCTGTGCATTTATTGAATTTAAAAAGTAAAATTCAATTTCAAATATTTTTAAGTTTTTGTTTTGATTGATGAGAACGTTTCGATTTTTCTCTCTGTAAAAAGTTGAATAAAAGTTAATTAACATTGAAAATTTTTAGAGTTTTATTAATTAGCAAGGTGAACAGATCATTGCTAAATTGGTGACCCCGACGTGATCTCGAAAAAGTTTAAATTTAGAAATATTAACTTCTGAGCTAAATATCTAATTATCGAGCTGTGATGTCAGTTGCAGACGAAGGTGTAGTAATGGCTTCTGATAGTGGAAGTGTCGTAAACCGTGTAGCAGTGAAGGTGCCACCGTTTTGGCACGAGCGACCGGAGATTTGGTTTGCTCAGATCGAGGCGCAATTTGCAGTAGCTGCCATTACGAGTGACATCACACAGTTCAACACGGTAGTAGCAGCGATTGAGTCAAGTGTTATCGCCGATGTAAGTGATGCAGTGCTTCATCCTCCTGAAACTGGAAGATACGCTAATTTAAAGGCTTGCATCATAGAGCGGTACAGTGAGAGCGAGCAGCGGAAGATTCAACGGTTGTTGTCAGAAGTTGAACTTGGTGATAGACGCCCAACACAGTTGCTAACGAAGTTGACAGCGTTAGCTAAAGACAAGGTGAGCGATGAGTTCCTTAAGTCTCTTTGGCTGAAGCGTTTGCCACCACAAGTGCGCGCTATTCTGCAGGCATCGAACGTGGCACTAGCAGAACTGGCGAAATTAGCAGACCGTATTTGCGAGGCGGGTGATTTTCAACAGATAGCTGTAGCGTCAGCCTCTGATTGTCCAGCCTATTCTGAGAATGCTGTGATTTTACGAAGGCTTGAGCAAATCGAACAGCGTCTGAGTCGTTTGGATTTACGTCGTAGTGAGTCGGTGCAAAGTCGATCGTCATCGAGGAGGCGTAGGCGAACTCGTTCCCGACCAGGAAGTCATCCAGATTGGTGCTGGTATCACGAAAGGTTTGGTGATAGAGCTAATGCTTGTCGGCAGCCTTGTAGTTTTGTGGCAAGCTCTCATCAGTCAAAAAACTAGGCACTCCTTCTACGTCGTCGAGCCGAGAAGGGGTTAGTGTTCGTATAGCTCGACTTAGTATTAAAGATCCCGCCACGTCGACCGTTTTCCTCATTGATACTGGTGCGGACATATCAGTTTTACCGAAGTCGTTCTGTCGTTGGAAGCAAAGGGCTAACAGTGTTGCATCAGTTAATTTATATGCCGCTAATGGTACGCCTATTCAAACATTTGGCGAGCGTCGACTGCTTTTGTCTTTGGGTTTGCGTAGAGATTTCCCGTGGACGTTCGTGATTGCGGATGTTAGCTGTCCTATTGTTGGAGCCGACTTCCTTAATCACTATGATTTGTTAGTGGATTTGAAAAGGAAGCGGTTAGTTGATTCGAAGACGACTTTGATGATGAAGGGTAAGGCTGCTGTGTCTCAAGAAGATACTGTGCGTGTGTGTGGTTCAGTTTCAGCTTATGCTGAGCTGGTTAATGAATACCGTGATTTAGGCATTATGAGTGCAAATCGGATGGGTTTAGTTACTAAGGTTGAACATTGCATCGAGACATTTGGTGCGCCGTCATTTGCTCGTCCCCGACGTTTAGTTGGAGCCAAACTTGAAGAAGCCAAGAAGGAATTCCAATTTTTAGTCCAGACAGGGATTTGTCAACCTTCGAAAAGCTGTTGGGTAAGTCCACTTCACATGGTTCGCAAAGGCGATGGAAGTTGGAGACCGTGTGGCGATTATCGCATGCTCAACGCGCAAACTAAACCTGATCGGTATCCGATTCCGTTCATTCATGATGTGACGAGTATTCTTCATGGTAAAACTATGTTTTCGAAGATAGATTTGCAGAAAGCGTATCATCAGATACCGCTTGCTCTGGCAGACATTCCGAAGACAGCTATTACAACTCCGTTTGGCCTGTTCGAGTTTCGCTTTATGACTTTCGGTCTCCGTAATGCTGCCCAGACGTTTCAGCGTTTTATGAATGAGACTCTAGGTGATCTTAATTTCGTTTTTGCGTACATCGACGATATTTTAATTGCGTCAAAAGATGAAGCAGAACACAGAATGCATTTGCGACTGGTTTTAGATCGACTTAGAGAAACTGGTTTGACCGTGAATTTTGCCAAGTGTAAGTTCGGCTGTTCCGAGATCGAGTTCCTTGGGCACGTTATTAGTGCAAAGGGTTTACGTCCTCCGGAGAGTAAAGTTCAAGCTGTTCGTGATTTTCCTCTGCCAGCAACGGTGAAACAGCTTAGACAATTCTTAGGCATGGTGAACTTTTATCGGCCGTTTCTGCGTAACGCTGTGCAGAATCAGCAGCGGTTGTTTCATCTTACACCAGGTAATCGCAAGAATGATAAGTCGGTGATTTCTTGGACTCCAGAAGATATAGAGGTTTTTGAGGCTTGCAAGAAGGATCTTGCCCAAGCTACGTTGCTTAACTTCATGGCTCTGGATGCACAATTGACGCTCACGACTGATGCTTCAGACGTTGCGGTGGGTGCTGTTCTCCAACAAGTAGTGAAAGGTGTGACTCAGCCATTGGCATTTTATTCAAAAGGTTTGAGTCCAGCGCAGACTAAGTATAGTGCTTATGATCGTGAGTTGACTGCTATCTATCAAGCTGTCCAGCATTTTAAGTATGCATTAGAGGGTCGTGATTTCGTCATTTTTACGGATCACAAACCATTAACGTTTGCGTTCAGGCAAATAAGTGAGAAGGCATCTCCTCGTCGTGCAAGACAGCTGGAGTTTATTAGTCAGTATTGCACTGATATTCGTCATCTGGCTGGTGCAGATAATACGGTGGCTGACTCTTTGTCTCGGGTTGCTACGGTTCAGTTGGAGGCAAATGTTATTGAGTTAATTGCTGAGGGGCAGAAGACTGATGCAGAGTTGCTCGCTCAGCTGAAGAGCCAGTCTGAAGATGGTGTTGGGTTGAAGAAGTTGAGATTGCCGGATTCGAGTATTGAACTGTACTGTGATGTGTCAGGCAGTCGTGTTCGTCCTTTTGTTCCCGCAAACTGTCGGCAGCTGGTACTCTCAAAACTCCACGGTTTGGCTCATCCTGGTATTCGAGCAACGCGGAAATTGGTGCAGGCTAGGTATGTTTGGCTTGGTTTGGTTAAGGATGTAGCTGTGTTTGTGCGTAGTTGCATTGCGTGTCAGAAGTCCAAGATTCAGCGGCATACTAAAACACCAATTGGTTCGTTTGCTGATATTGATAGTCGGTTCCAGCATGTTCATGTTGACATTGTGGGTCCATTGCCTTTGTCTCAGGGGAAGCGTTATTGTTTGACTTGCGTCGATCGTTTTTCTCGGTGGCCTGTTGCTGTGCCTCTGTCGGGCATTACGGCAGAAGAAGTTGCAGCGGCTTTTATCGACGGTTGGGTGGCAAGTTTTGGTTCTCCGCAGGCTATTACCACTGATTTGGGTCGGCAGTTTGAGTCTGCTGTATTTCGGGAACTGACGAGATTGCTTGGAGTGAAACACTTTCATACCACGGCTTATCATCCTCAAGCAAATGGCATGGTTGAACGTTTCCATAGAACATTGAAGGCAGCCATTCGATGTCATTCCTCAAGTAATTGGACGCAGTCTCTTTCGCTTGTGTTGTTGGGATTGCGAACGACACCGAAACTAGACCTAAATGCTAGTCCTTCAGAGATGTTGTTTGGAAATCCTCTTTGTGTTCCAGGGCAGATGCTTTCGGATTTCAAGCAGAAGTCGTCCGAGACTGATTTTGTGTCGGCGTTGCGAAGGGCTTTAGCTAAGGTTAAATCCGTTGAATCAACAAGACATTGTCATCCATCTGTGTATGTTCCGCGTGACGTTATTAATTGTAAGCACGTTTTTCTTCGAGTGGATCGTGCTCGAGCTCCACTTGAGCAGCCTTACGAAGGTCCATTTGAGGTGCTGAGTCGTAGTGAGAAGACGTCTGTTATTGTTTGCCGTGGGAGAGAGGTGACTGTTTCGAATGATAGGTTGAAGGCGGCGTACTTAACGTGTGATGATCTTGAACAGGTTGTTCCAGAAACGCGTCAGCCTTCAGCGCTGTTGAATGGTGATCAGTTAGTGACTTCTGGTGATTGTAGGCGTGAATCCCTGTTGCCGATTCCGAAAGTGACACGAGCTGGTAGAGTAGTGCGTTTCCCAGCAAGGTTAGCGGAATTTCGTGATTAAGAGTGGTGTTGTCGACTTAGTTGTGGTGTCGCGTTGTTGCTAGTACTCCATCGCTAGGAGGGGGTACTGTGGCGACCCAGTTGGCTGTGCATTTATTGAATTTAAAAAGTAAAATTCAATTTCAAATATTTTTAAGTTTTTGTTTTTGATTGATGAGAACGTTTCGATTTTTCTCTCTGTTAAAAGTTGAATAAAAGTTTATTAACATTGAAAATTTTTAGAGTTTTATTAATTAGCAAGGTGAACAGATCATTGCTAAAAAATAAAGAATAGGCAAAAAAAACCCAAAAAGTTAAACTTTCAATTCGTTGAACTTGTGTTTCCAAATATAAAGCTGTAGTTTATAAGCTCGTTCTAATTTAAAGCACGGCAAGTGCTTTGGTTGTTGTCACTAATAAAATAAAATAAGTGACAATAAAACCTGGAACTTGAGCATTGAAAGTTTGTGCACCCTTGGCTTCTTGTGGATAAACACGATTAGTCATCGCTTCTAATTTGACAGGCACGAGTTCTAAGCCTGGCACTTTCGAAAACCCTTCTATTATTTATAATATTTATAATATTAAATTTACCATAATAATAGGGTAATTATGCTGAAGTCATATATTTTCATAGAAATTGTATATATATATTGAAATTGTATATATCTTTAGCACATAACTTTACTGCATTATGTATTCTTAAACAATAAATGTCAAAGAAAACAAAGGCTCTAAAAAATGATTTAACAGAACTGATGTCTTCGTCATCAACAACGACTGTATTAAATCGATCTTTTTTCTACTTACGTAGTAAGTTGTTGTAAGTACAGAGAATGGTAGAAGAGCAGATATAGCAGCTGCACTGGTTGGAGTCACAGTTTTTGGGTTACAGCTTAAAAAATAAATGTATATATTGCTATAAATCCTGTCGATAACAACGAATATACAGATATTCGAATTAATATATTGTTAGTGGTTTTGGAGCAAGCTTATGCATTTTGTACAAAACAGCACACCATTTACATACATTCTTGATGGCCTATGCTCTTTGTGGAACTTAAAGTGTCGATGATAATAATAATTTTTTATCCCAAATTATCTTTTTGGTTTTACAAAATACTTGTTGTATTCGAATGGATTTATCTATTTATCAAAAATTTACTGTAATTTAGTAATATTACGGGGTACCGATCTCATTGTTGTTTTGTATGTAAATATCTCCACAAACAATTTTCCGCTTGCGTAAAATCACATATTTCAGTAGTTCGCACTATGTCTCAAAATTTTGAGGTAACGTGATTAGCCTTTAACTATGTGTTTTCAAACTCATTGATTTAGTTCATACTATTTTATACATTGCCATCCAAAATATTTTGACCTATTATTCGAAAAATAATAGGAAAAATAATAATAAACGATATCATGAGTCCACAAACATCACTATAAAGAGTACTTTTCAAATTGAAAATAGATTATCGAAATTGATGGATTATTTTGAATATACATTGAGGTACAGAGTCAAAAAGTCATTCAAAAAAAAAAAAACAAAAAATACAGTTGTATGAATTACTATATCTCACAAATGACGCACCTAAATATAATAGATTAAGTAGTAGCGATGGCAATTAATCTTGAACGTTTTGGTGCACCTTGTATAGTTGCATCGTTTTATGAATTAATTTTTACCACTAATTAATAGATCTGGAACGTGAGTTCGATCTTTGTAATCTGATAATAAATCAATATTTTTGTTACAATATTGTCGTTCGAAGTTTTAAGATAATTGTTTTTGGTGAAATTTTGCTTGTTTTTCAAAATAAAACGATCAAGTTATTAGCCATTGAAAATTTCAGAAATT